ATCGAGTTGCATGTGGCGTTGGGAAGCTCGCGATATCTCAAGCTACTGCAAGGTGGCGGCGGAACCCCCCTCCCCGAGGCAGGGGCGATCGGTTCGTTGTGCCTGTCTGTTCATGATTCAAAGATCCCCCCGCTGTCCTTGAACAAAGCCGACCCCGCCACAGAGTTTGTGAACACTGATGAGACTTGATAAGTTAAGGTTTAGGAATACATGTCGACGTCGCCATCACTCGAAGCAGTCGACGGGATTAAGCATGCTCGCAATCGAATACGATCGGCTGTGGTCTGCGTGACGTTTCGTCCGGTTCAAGTGAAGGACTTTAGCGATGACACGGTTCACGCGCATCGCGAGGAGCTCGGGGGACAGGACCACGTTGGCGTCGTTGGGGAAGTCGCGGTAGAGCAACCGTTCGATTTTGAGCGCGAGGTTGACGAGGGTTTTGCCGCGGCAGTGGTCCACGAGGCGGTTGTACCGATGTTCCTGCAGCATGCGAATGATTTGATCTGTCCGCTTCGAGTGCTGCACAGGCTTGAGTGGCAGAGTGTGTTGAGGGCTCGGCATGGTTTTGTAAAATGGGGCTCGTGGGCCATGCACGGTCTACTGGGTAGACACAAATTGCATTTCTATGCTAATACTGCCTCCGTGTTCGACTGCTGCATCCGAGCCACGACGGTCGCTTCCGCACGCGACCGACCAGAATCGGAGCGCTCAACAGCGTGCGGTAGGACCAGGTAAGCGCTGCGGGAGCCGCGCACTGTGCAAATCCTGGTCAGGCTCTCGTCTTGTGGAACCGAGCTGTGCCGATCTATCCCAGCCTATTGATGCGTTTTCATTCCTGTACCGGTACCATCATGACCTTGGCCTTCAGCACCATTACGTCTTTGGGGGGGAGGGGCGGGCGTCACCACCGCCGCGACAGCGACCAAGGCCGAGCTCTCGGATAGAGTTGGAGCCAGGACACGACATGCGAGCCGTCTCAACTACCTACTCTGCGACTTGGCATCGCCTGACGCAACTCGATTTCCAGGTCGGCCACCGCAGGCTCGCACCAGCACGCGACGTAGGCGGCGGCACTTGCCGTCGCTACAAAAACACAGCACCCCGACCGAGTGGAAGGAGACTGTAGGTGGGTGGAAGAAATTTTACGGCAACCCCAGCGGAAATGAGGTGATATGCACAAGTGTGTTATCGAAGGCAGGCGTTCGGCTACGCGCGTCTTCCCCAGCGACTCTCTCGGCCATGGTGCGTGTGCCGCAACCATTTGTAACCAAGCATGTTCCTGCGATTCCGTTCGCCTGACCGTACGTCGATGCAGGTTGCGTTTGTGGCCCGTTTACTCGGCAATTCAAACGGATATGCAATGGCAAGATGATGGCTATTCATCTTGGAGACGATCTACGACAGCAGGGTCGACAAGACCGGCCTCTTGCATCAAGGATGCGGCTAAACAAGAGCGACGCGACATGACCGCTCAATCGACGTCAACTCTACCATGAGGAAAAAATGCACGCGCTCTCGATCGTGTCAACGGGATGGCACGGTGTCCAGCGTGTAGTTGTTCGGGGCAAGGGACGCCGTGGTTTTTGCCCGCAAAATGGAAACGATGAGCTGCCGCATCTTCATCTCGAGCACTTCGAGGGGCCACTCTGCAGCAACGTCCGCGTCGTGGCAGCAGCGATGCAAGAGGCGCTCGATTTTGAGCGCAAGAGACGCAACGACGGCTGTGTCCACGGCAGTCGGTCCTCCCACATTTTCAAGTGCCCTCCGCAGGAGGTTCGAGATATGGCTCGTGTGACGCTTCCGCTGAGGGTTCGGCTGAGGCGCCGCAGCTCTGCAGCGTACCGACGCTGGCTCGGGCACCGAGTAGCACATGATGGCCTCAACGGGAACTGGGCCAGCAACACGGGGCGGCGGTAGCCCCCACCGCTCGCGTGTTTTTGGCACATTTTGGCGAAGTTCGAAGCATCGTTACCATTTCGCATCCGCAGCAATCCGACTTGGGGTCCCTGGACATGATACTGAAAGGCCAGTCCATCCACCATACATGCACATGCGTATAAAGCAATGCAAGAAGCCACCTGAACTTGTTTTATTCTCATGAAACCAACCGACAGCGACGCTAGGAAGGGGGTGATTTGGGGCGCCGCTTCGAACTTCGTCGACACCCCATCGTCAGGGGTGGGTGTCTGCCGTTGAGCGTCAGAATCGGCCAAAATGGAGACTACCGAGTACCCCAGTGGTCGGCAAACTTTGCAGCGGGAGATCGTTCGAGAAGCGGCAATGCCGACGCACTTTCCCGGATGCCGAGCAGCCCGCCCCAGGGACCAGACACACCCAGGACCTTTCAGCCACAAAACATCCCACGCAGTTCAGCTGCCATCACAATCGAGTGATTTCATTGGTGGATCATACGTACACGACTCGTGTGATTGGCGAATACATGAGCTACGTTTGTACAATTCGTATTCGTCATGTTAGTACAAGACCATCAATCGGCTCGCCGCCGTGCACCTGGCGGACGAGGTCCGTTCGCCATGGGTCGACGGCTCGTCAAGAGACACGGTAGTTCGAAGTACGTGGCTGAAAATGTAGAATGCCAGGGCCTTGCAAAAAAAATCGTGCTGCCGATGCCGTCGACTGCAGTGACGTCATGCTGCCGAGACGGACAGAATGATGGTTTTGTGCACTTGACGCGCTGGGTCGGAGAAAGCGCCAGCCCAACGAACGTCAACGCACGACGCGACGCATGCAGCCCATCAGTGCCAGCCATCCATCGTAGTAGGGAGGAATCGCTGCGTTTGCTCTTGTTGTAGTCCGTGGACATTGCAAGGGTGACAGAAAAAAAGGCAAGATGGTTTGTTAAATTAAGGAGCCAGAAGGGGGGGGGGCATGTAGGATGGCCTCGACTTCTTTCCAGTGAGAATGGAGACCGTTGGTCGCGTTATAGTTCAAACTTGATGTCGTCGAGCGTGAAGTTGTTGGGCTGCAGCGCAACGCTCTCCTTGGACAGCAGGATGCGCTCGATCACGTACTTCAAACGGGCTTCGAGCACTTCCGGGGACAAGTCATCCTGGTCGTCATTCGGGAACGCCCGGACGAGTATTCGCTCGATTTTCAACGCCAACGCGTTGAACACGTCGGCGGTGGCGAATTTGAACTGGGCGTCGTACGACCGGTACAACATTTGCGTGATGATTTCAATGCGGCGTTTCCGTGTCGGTACTGTGGGCATCGGGTCAAATTGGACGGGTGTGGGGTACAATGCAAACGACGACATGCACGCGCGTGGATTGTCGGCGGGAGGGGGGGCGGGTGTTGGTTAGAACGAAGATTGGAATATGACAGGTGCATGGTGACCACAGTGTGCCGGTGTCGCGACTTTGTCGGAGCGCAAAAACGTCGGTAATTGCCAGTTGTCTTTACCTCCGAGCGTGTCAAAAGCTACGGGGCATGTCACACTGCAATCATTTGACACGCATTGGAATCATGCGGACTATATCTGTGGCTACAACGCTTCTACTGGGCGCTCGTTCCACGCAAAGCTTACTTGCACACGACGATGCATGCCGAAGGAATGACAGGCGCACATCAAACAATCCTTTGGTCGGGCATTCAGTCGCACGTCTCAGATCGAAGCGAGTGGTCTCAACGTGGCCATAAAACCTCCAGAATCAACCCACGTTCGATTCCCCCCTTCGTCGTGAGGCATCTCTTTCGAGGGTATGTATAGGATCGAAACCCGATTCTTCTTGAACCGCTGCGAACGAGAACGCCCCAGTCGCACGCTATTGCGTTTTCCGTGACCGGTTCGGTTGGTGGACATGGAAGCATACACGTCGCCCTTGTCTTGCAGTAATTTGCGCGGTGTACGACCGCTCGCTCTAAAATCGTTTGACAGCCCCGCGGGGGCCAGGACAAAGCTGCTGTTGGACGCGTGACATGGACCATGCTGTTGCGTCCACGAGTGTGTACTCGGTGCGGTACCTAACATTGGTTGAAGATGCACTGGCTGGGTGCACTTAGACCGTCGAAAAGAATATGGTCGCCAGCCGAATATTTTGGGCCCGCCACAGTGTGTGGAATCGACCGTCACGTGGGTGAACAACGCGTCAACGTTCGTATCCGTGCATATTCTGCAGCCAGGAACCTCTAATGCTTTCGGCCCAGCTTTGGCCGCTGCGCAGAGGAAACGTGACCAAGCTGTCGCCACATGTACAGTACGCGCAGTCTTGGCTCTGACACAGTGTGCGTTGGCCACACACCAAAGTGTCGACGACTTGTGCCTTCTATGCCGTGCACTACGTGCACATACCTCGGATGACGGACATTCGCACCATGTTGTCGAGTTCGCCGTTAGTGCTTTCACACGACTCATGCCACGAACAGAAACACGCACACAAATATCAAAATCTGCGCACGTAGGGTCTCCCAACGACCAGCCGAATTTGTCCGCCATTGCTGCAAGTTATCAGCCGAGGCAATTCATGGCAATGTCGAGGTATCCCAGATTCGATACGCTCTATCGTTCAGTTTCAAAGGAATTCAGTTTAAACAGTATAATCAGCAGCAATAAAATAGCGAACATGGCCGGCAATGGATTGACAAATTCCACCGCGTCATCAAGAAGTCTTAATTAAATTGAAAAATCTATTTTGACCAGGTACTATGTCTTGCAGGAGTTAGAACTGTCAAGTATGGCTCCGAGCATAAGATTCTGGAGGGTTTGATTTGTTGGGAGTTCAATTTTATCCAATGTGAATACTGCCATCTTTCGACCGCACGACGGGACCGCGGGAGCTCGGCCGGGCGGCTCGGCTCATCAAGGAGAGGTCGTGTGACCCAACCGTGCGATCGCATAGTCCGGTGACTACGCCATTGCCCTTTCCACCTGGATCTACCGTTTGTCGAAGCACTTGACCGTCGTAAGTAGAAACGCCGGCAGCGATTCCAGCCCAACGGCATGGCCCACGACCGTGTGAGAGATTGCCATGGCGGTAGAAAAGAATGCCAGAAAGAATGACGTACACGACATGTTACAACTCGACTTCAACGTATACACTTACGGTTGCTGGCACACTGCGTCACTCCGACAACATGTTTTGAATGGAAAACTTGGTTGGAATGGAGGGTCGTGCTGTACTGGTTGCACGAGCGCGTTTGTGAAGAATGGTCACGACGACTCGTCGGACCCGATCTTCAAGAGCTTTCGAGTCGATCGCGGCATCCACGGGAAACGAGTGGCTCAGAATGCGCTCGATTTTCACCGCCAGGGGTAGGAGAACGCTCGACGGGGCGGGATGGTTGATGTGTCCTAAGTTTGCTCGATGGAGAAGGCGAAGGATCTGATGGATGCGGTTGCCGCGGCGGACTAGCGTCGGAACAAGCATGTCCGAGGAGGCGGCAACGGCAGCGGCAAATGAATGGGTGTTGGGGCTCATAAGGAAATGACGCCCCTCCTGGACAATCGACAACAGCTCAGATTGCCCCCCCCACCGAGCGTGTTTCTGTTCCTGTCGAGGAAGGAATTCGGAAGGCGAGAACACCGTGTGCGAGCGATCTGCACCATACTGTGTAAGGACCTATAATCTGGGTGCCATCCTTTCCAGTCGACGCACGGGCTTCAACGCAGTCAACCAAAAGGGACAGACAACGACGTTTGCCCCACGGTTCCTGCCACCTCTCGTCCTTGGCCGTCCCCCCCATCACGTGGGGAATGGGGGCGCGATGCACGAGAGTCGGGCTCTCTCGTGCCTATGCAACCAACCATGCTGCAGTAGGTGCTATGCGTTTGGGTGTTTACGTCGGCCACCTATCGTGCCAAAAAGCACAAAGCCAGTACTACTGTATGTGTGGCTGGGAGGCGTTTGGATCAGCGACTCAGAGAAACTGGGCGTTTCACATTTCGACCAATCAATTTCCTTCCGTTGTCGCAGGTGGCACGATAACGTAATAGTACGAACGGAGGCATGTACTAGTCCGAGAACATGGGCCTCTTCCGACCTATGGCTCGTCCACAGGAGCATCTCGTAAACAAACAAGCACACTTACCCCGTCCGGTGAGTTCAATCCATGTTTATGTGCTCTTCGGACTGCCATGTCCACGTTGCGAACGAACAAACGAAGGAGGATCGACGATTCCTGCTCTATATAATATTCTTATCAAATGATATTTTCGTTCGTGGCACAGAATCGAAACAAAGAGGGTTTGGCCCATGCAACCGGTATAGTGAAACGGCGTGGACCTCTATAAAATAATAAGATAGTGCGAACAGATTGGAGAGTACCGATCCATCCTTTCTACATGGGGATGTACTACTAATCTCTGAACTCGACCAAATCCCTCCAGGAAAAGTTGAAAGGCACTTCGCAGCCACAAAACTTGGTCGTGGAGACCATCGACAGTCGACACACCTCGTTTCCTCTGCACTTGTGAACAAATGCACCCCGTGAGAGGGCCCTGACGGACTGCTGGCATCGACTTCGTTGACATGTTCAATGGCCACACAGGTTGCAAATTTCCATTGCGTGGATGTGCACAGGATGTCTCAAAGAAGTGTGTCGGACAACCGCAAAACCCCGCGGCTGGATTGTGACGTTGCAACGTCCGCTCTCAGATGAATCTTGCTCGGGGGATCATCTGGGATGATGTCAAGGGATGAGCATGGAAGTGTGTTCGAGTCAATAGATATGTGCGTTGCGCGTTAAGTTATTCGTCGATCGAGTAGTTGTTGGGCTGGAGCGTCACGCTGTCCTTGGAGAGTAGAATGCGTTTGATCACGTGGCGAAGCTTGACCTCCAACACCTCAGGTGCCATCAAGACATCGTCGTCGTGGGGGAACGTCCGGTACAAGATCCGCTCGATCTTGAGCGCGAGGGACGTAAAGATCAAAGGGGACGCGTGTTTGTGTTGCACAGCGTATGCCCGTTGCAAGAGCCGTTGTATCTGGGATGTGCGACGGCGACGCGTGTGCTGTTGCTGTAGCTGGTGGGCCTGCCGAAGCTGGTGGGCGTTCAGGGCATAGCACATCGTCGGGGGAGGCACGATCGACAGGAGATTGGAAAATGGATCGCCTCGTTGTGTGTCCCATGGAGGGTTTTTCGTCCACACGGGTGCGTGTCTACGCCCCTTTGCGTGTTCGGTGAGATATTGAGCACCAGATCCCATGCATTACCATCTCTTTCACAGAGCACGGACGGGGCGTTGGATCGAGCAAGTTCCTGCACTCGTCTACTGCACACGTCGGCACATTGGCCATTCGCGCGACTTCCCTCGGGCTCCATGATTGAGCCGGGGGATCCGCGTCGATGCGCGGACGAAGCGCCGAGGACAAAGCGGGGTGAGATATTCGCCATCACGTTGGGCGTTTATGAAACCACAAGGCCTCGCACCATCTTTGCAAAATCGAACGCAGCTCGACACGTTCGCTCGCATCCGCGGCAGCGCGGTCAGTCCGTCCGCTTTGGCTTGTCCACACACGGACGGCACGCGGGTGTACCACGGCGCGCCGAGGAACACTTTGGACGAAGGTGGAATTTCGCTGGCCTGGTGGACGAGCCGCCGTGAAAGTGCAGTAAAGAACACCCACGGGCAGTAAAGACCCGACACCATGCACGAGGTACCGTACGTTTTATGTCTCAATCGTGCAAGTTGCATGAAAAGGCAATGTGGCCCACGGCGGCGATGGATCGCCGGTATTGTGTCGCCGTGACGACGTTCACGTAGAGCAAAGCCACACTGCATGCGGCAGATGGAGAGCGGAAGACCATGCGAAGACTCTTGCCGAACGAGCGATCGTGTGCTCGAAATAGGAAAGGATCCGCCGCACGATGACTCGGATGGGGGATCCTCGACAAGTTGTGGACGTTCGTGTGCAACGGGAGCATGTTCATGTCGATGCTCGTGTGGTTGAACGCAGTGTAAATCGAGTCGCGATCCGACCCGGGAGTCGGCGGCGGGATGTGTGTTTGTGTCAAAGCCAAACGTCACATCGACCTCGTCGATCGCAACCCACGTCTGCACGAACCTTTTGTTAAAAATAGCTTGCAAAAGCGAAGTACTCAGCATTTGAGAGCTACGACGAGCTTTGATGGAAACCTGTCCAACAGCCCACAACGCATGCACGGTCGACTAAGCCCTCGGAACGAGAACAGTTTGCATCCCACCTTGTGATTCGGGGCGATGGCCATTTCTAGCCAAAGGAATGAGGTATACATCCGACGAGCGGGCTTCTCCGTCGAATGTAAGGACCTTACACACTACAGTTCGTCCAAAAACTATGGACGCACACAAAAATTTTCAAGTTGATTGTGTTCCCTTCTGAATCAGAAGATACTCTTTTGACACAGTAGACCACTCAACCAATTATTGGGTCACTGGCGCAACGTGTTGTAACTTTGGAAATCACGAAGTGACTTCGAAATTCATTTCATGCAAAAATGTGCGATGAGCTATTTCGTAATTGACTCGGTCATATCCAATCGTGTCAACAGGTAACTATTGGGTGTGGTGGTTTCGTGAAGAATTCAGTTATGTTTGAAGATCTTTGTCAACAAATATTGATCACACATTCTTTATTCAAAAATACCACTAT